GATTCAAGAAATAGTAGCTGCTTAACCTCTTGAATATATTTGACTGAAACATAACCTCAGCCACGAAATCTCTACAAAAGCTAAGCAAGAGCTGTGGTCAGCTTTGATACTGATGACGAACAAAGATATAATATATGCACAACATTTTCAGAATGGGAAATTGATCGTATATATTGAAAGGAAGCTACTGAATGGAGCTTTGGAAATGAATCAGCCTGGTTTATACACATAATACAATGAAGTGGGGTGAATCGATTGAATCACTATGGGGGATATGGATGCAATCTTATTTTTGAATGCTTTACTCTGCTAAAAAAGTAATCCTGAAAATAAGAGACTTCTACAACAAGCAAAATACAGTCAACTTTCTCATTGTATCATGTAGCTATTGTAGCTCACATAATCTCTGACCAGTGACTATTTATGCTGATTGGGCTGAGTATCCATTAACCTTTGGAGTGTGATGGGTTTCTCACCCTTTCCATGTTTTGTTAACATAGTCCATCCACCTGCTCCATCCTGGTGAAGGTGCAGACACAGCTTCATAGAGAAACCATCCACATCCTGAAGTCTGAAATAGCACACATTTGTGGAACTTGGAAACAGATTGAGTTCTTTCATTGGAACAAAAGCTAAGGAAAGGTCATAACTTCCTCCTGCTGAGGGAGTCTTCAAAGCCATCAGCATGAACACAGAGTGATTGGAGAAGTTATAAAGTAAAATTTCAGCCATTTTGCCCTTGCATATGAAAAAAAGGAATTTTGTTTGCTCCCAGCAGGAGAAAACCAATCTTTCTGAGCAGATAGTACCCATTCACATATTTGGAAGAGTTATGGGAAATTATTCTGCATAGAAATACTCCTGATTTTTTACACAACAGGATGTGTGTGTATGTGTGCAAAACACATTGCTTCCAATAGCCAGCTATTCTTGTGCAAAATTGCTGGGCTTCTCCCCCTCACTCTCTCTCTCCTCACACACACACCATTTTGCAGAAAAAAAGAACCTGGAGACATTTGAAAGATCTTTCTTTGTGGATAACCTTTTCATATGAAATCTCAATATTTTATACAAGAAACAGCATTCCTGGAGCATTATATGCATATGAACTGCTGATTTTTTGTGGAGAAAAACAGCATACATACAAAAATGTATGGCCACTTGGAAACAGTAGCCAGTATTCTGTATCATTTATTTAGAGCACATCTACATAGATTATTTTGAAAAGGGGAAGGGATTAAACCGGTGGCAGCTGCATGACGCATGAAGCTGATTTGAATTAAGGAAGGCGTTGAATTACATCAACAAAAGTTGCAGGTTGTTCCAAATTTTCCCCAAGAATCTGTAGCCAACATGACTTTGGTGCCATGTAAACAGCTGAGAAAGTTCCGATACAGAACTGCAACTGTTTATGGAGCCATCCTTGTGGTCACCCTTCTGCTTTCATCATAGTGCCAGCCTCTGGGCTTGAAATGGCTGGCAGTTATCACTCATCAACTGGTACCTCATCACACTAGAGAATGAGTCCACTTTAAATCTGGTTTCATTCTCTAGTGTGATAAAGTAGCTGGAGTGACATTGGATGGGGTGCAAAGAGATGAGTAACACCAGCCATCAGTCTCTCTGTGGTGCCATGGCTGATGTTACTCCAGTAGATAAAAGATGGCCACCAGCCCTGTCACACCTGTTACAATGAGAACAAGAGAAGGATGCTAAGGGTGGCCATCCAGCAGCACTGAACAAATTAGGTGTTGCTAGAAGATCAGGGCTTCTCACATCTGCAGCAGACCAAAGGTGGCAATAAGATCTCTCTCTCTCTCTCTCTCTCTCTCTCTCTCTCTCTCTCTTGCATCCACTGTAGACCAGTGACTTAGAGTAAAGACCATCCTGGTACTAACTTGTAATTCAACATTCCAGTTTAGCCTAGGATATACTGTCCATGTAGAACCCCATTCAATTAATTGTACTTAAATAATCTCTTCTGGCCTGACCTACACCCAAGCAGACAGAAACATCATTTGTTCATGTTCCAATTGTTGGCAGGGAAGACCTTTTTTTTCTCATGGAGCTAATGCCTGGTAAAGTAATCTGGGGAAATTATTATTATGAAAATAGTGTCACAATTATGACTATGTGGTTAGTTATCATGAAAAAATAATAGTTACCTACATTTATTGCTATGGAACCATTCTATATTTACAATAGTTACTTAGACAAGGGCACAACTCTCCTTCACAACCTACTTTACTGAACAGTAGCTACAGTTTGTATGAAATTGTGACCTTTATTTCCTGTGCTGGTCTATGACCAAAATAAATGATTTTATTTTATTTGAGCTGCAGTAAGGAAGCCCATTCTTCTTGTGACTGGAGCTTGGGTGAATTTTGCTGGGTTAGGGGTGGAGTAGGTTACAGACAAGAAGAAGTTATTTTGCTCTGCATACTTAACCAAGTATCTGAGACAAAATAGGGGTCAGCATTTTAAGCGTGGGGGGGGGGGGAGGGGGAGGGAATGACTTAACATTGAAATAGGATTGCTGTGAGTTTTCACAACATGACCATACAGCCTGGGAAACTCTCAGCAACCCAGTGATTCCGACCATGAAAGCCTTCGACAACATAAAACCCCCTGCATGTAATCCTGTTCAAAATAATTTCACAAAACACTTTTATGCAGACAAAAATTACACAAATCCCCCCCCCCCCATGGTGATCATCTTCGTGACTGCATTTTCTCCATGTTGGAAAGGCAAGAAATCAGCAAACATTTTTCAATCTTTATCAGGTATAGCCTAAAAGAGATCAAGATAATTTGTTGACTAAGAGAAAGGACCTTATTTACAGTATGAACAAAATCAACCTGGCTTACTCCAGAACCCGCAAGAGGGCAGCGTCCTCCAATGTATAAATGGGCAGCAGATAATCTGTTCATAGAGTGCTGATTTCCAGCCCCTTCCTGCTGTTCTCCAGCATCATGTTTCCTGAGGCAGGCAACTCATTCTGTTTAATGAAAAAGCCCAGCCTTCACTAGAACCCTAACTGCTTTGAAAATAAAATATTCTGCTTTGCAGAAGCTTAAACCATTCTGATGGGAAATAACTGTAATATATACAGTACATCAGGGTTTCTTTTTAATATATCTAATATATGGCTTTGCAGTTTAGATTAGAAATGACATCACTTTTAAAATAATTCCTTCTTTCACTCCTAAACAGAACTAAAATTACATTCTGGAAAAGTTCATGCCAGTCTAGTGGAACTCAGTTAAATATTAACAATGCTTGTGCTAACCAGAAATGGGCCAGTCTCTCTCCCCCTCCCTCCCCCCCCACACACTTTGGTTAATGGTCTTCCCATGGGCCCACTATGGACAGGAGGAAATAATTTATTATCTTTCAAGCTTAGGTTATGCCAAATTTCATTCAGATTTTATCAGAGCAATCAATGTTGCATAAGATTTAAAACTGAAATAAAAGTTAAGATTAGGCCAGCCACTCAATTTACCATTCACTTACGTGGGTGAGGGGAATGGCCATCGGCTTTCCTGCCCCTTTTTCCCTACAGAACGGATGAGTGGAAAACTGACACTTCTGCTTCCAATATGTTAATATGATATCCTAATTGGGAAATATCTCCTTCTTGAATCTTTTTTATTTTATCTTTTGGCTTTCAACAAATAAGTCATGAAATTACTTTTATCACAGAGAATTTTGAAACCACATTAACTGCCATGGCTAAATGGTATTTTGTTAGGGATTTGTTGCTTGGTCGGGCACGAGCACTCTTTGGTAGAGAAAGCTAAAGGCTTTGTAAAGCTACTACGTTGTAAAACTAAGACTATAGCATCGATCCCTGGCAGTTATTTTCTATTTATCACGTCAGAAGCGAGTTGGAGGTACAGTTATAAAATTAAAAACTTGGCATTATACTAATTGTCCTTTGACCGGAAGCTGGCCACTTGGAGTGCCTCTGGTGTCGCTGTGAGAAGGCCCTCCATGGTGCATGTGGCAGGGCTCAGACTGCATTGTAGTAAGTGGTCTATGGCTTGCTCTTCTCCATATTCACATGTCGTGGACTCCACTTTGTGGCCCCATTTCTGAAGGTTGGTTCTGCATCTCATGGTGCCAGAGCACAGTCCGTTCAATGCCTTTCAAATGGCCCATCTTCTGTATTCCCAGAAGGGAGTCTCTCATCCAATATCAGCATGGATTGTGGTTCTGGGTTTTAGCCTACCACTTTTGAACTCTTGCTTGCGGAGGTATTTCTGCAAGTAGATCTTAGAAAGCTATTTATTGATTTAAGGCATTGGTGTGCTGATTTATATTTGAACAGAGGATGGGCCAGAGATGTCACTGGAACCAAACAAACAGGGGGCACGAGAGAAGCCTTCCTGCAGGATCCGGGTGTCTCCTCAGCAATGTCTTTGTAGATAGCTGATTTTCTCACACCAAAAGCAAATTGGAGCATGCAATCCTGGTAGTTAAAGTGGTGTCAAAATGCATGAATTCCACAATGTAGCTGCATCTATAGCTATTTCCATATTTTTCTAATTTTAATGACCAAACTGCTGAAGGCAGATAAGGAAGGTATAAAATTAGGTGGACTGTTTTTGTATGAAAAATGTATTTTCAGTAAAGACCTTCTTCCCCCAATACGTATTTTGACTTAGTGATCTGGTTGTAATAACTGACTATTCTCTGAGCCCCATTTCAATTCTTTCCCAAATACATTGATGTGATTAATCTATCTATGGTGTTTTTATAGTATGGCCCCTTATCCACAAATCAATATCTACAGTTCCACTCGCCAATGCTCCAAAAAGTATTTTGGAGGGTGGCTGAAGTGTTTGTGGGCTCTACAGTTCCTCCAGTACAAATCTATCGTATACTTCAGGCCCCCATACAGTCAAAATACAGAGTTCGCAATTGCCTACAGGTTCAGGTATCCAATTCAAGTAAAATTTGTTGCTGTTTTTGACAGAGATTGCAGCATAGCTGGATCAACATTCCCACATTCTTTAGCTTTTTATTTGTGTATAAATACATGTCAATACCACAAGATGGCACTTTCTTACTTGCAACACATACTATTACAAACACTAATCTTCTTCAAGATGTTCAGAATGTAGACTTGGAAACTTTTTTAAAAAGCAAGACCTTCTACAAACAGTTCGTATGTGTATGTTGGATGTATAATAAATAAGGTCAGAGAATAACTTTAAAAAAAGAATTTACAAATATTCCAGATAAGAAAATTTAAATTACAAAAGCAGAATTCATAGTAAAGAAACATAATTACAGTTTTCAATGGTTAAAAATGTATCTAAATGGCTTAATAGTAATTTAAAATATATCTTTGAGCACTCATCATTTCCTTAGTCATCAAAATTTTTGTCCACCTTGTTCTTTAAAAAACAAAACAAAAATAACCCTGCACAGTTAGAAAGCCATCTGGATCTTATTATACCACAAAAACGTAATAATGTTTGTTACCCAGCTCTGACGGAATTAAAATCACGTTCCCATCTATGAAGAATGGTAACTTTGAAAACCAAGGCAAATCCAGATATTTTTGGAAAACATACGAGCCAGCTTTAATAGTTCCAAATACAACTCAAAGGTAAACACTAGAAAACTTATTGTTGAAAGTGGTGAAGAATAAAGAAGACTGCACTAATATAGTGCGTAAAGATGCAGTGTCCAATCTGTCCTTCAAAGAAAATGTCACCATTTTTCCCACAGGATTGTCATGCTTTTAAAGGTAAAAATCAGTAGAAGACTGTAGAAGTATTTGTTTCTTCTTATTCCCATTTATCAACAGGAAGAAATGTATTTCTGAGGTTCTGTCTGGGAAAGGGTTCTCAACGATATAGAAGGTTCTTTAACATCAGCTTTTAGATAAACTAAGAGGCAAAATGAAGTTTGTTAGTTGTACTCTGCCCACTTGTATCCGTTTCTTCCAAAAAGAAAGTTTGATATAATACTTTAACTGAGATTTTTTTTTAAGCAGGGGAGAGAAGCAATTAAGGCAGTTGATGTCTACATTTGGATTTCTTTCTTGGTTACATGTCAACATCTCCGTCGTAGGCTAAAGTCAAACACTTCTGTTGAGGAGGAACAGGTTGTTGTTGTTTTGGTTTTTTACTAAAAAAAAAGAAAGAAAAACATTGTTTGAAAGCATGTTAGGGAATTATGAATGTTAACTTCATAATAAAAAAGGACTGTAGATCTAGTCAAGTATAAGCACTATTGATTCAATGGAAGAACTAAGCTCTTGATTTTTCAAGAAATTCTAAAATCAATAGAACTTTGAAGGTACTCATTTTTTGTGCATTAGACCATTTCCAAATCTGCAATTTAAATTATTAAATTACATAGCTAAAAATTACATTATTGCAATGTACTAATTTTTATCAAAAAGAGTCTGACTACAACTCTATGGATATACCTCCAAATTCTGAGATAGACAAGTTCATTAAAAGGCATCTATTGCTGAAGGAAAACATCATTGCTATAGTAACAATCCAAAAGAAGGGATAATATACTGGAGAAACAAGTTCCTGTAACAACTTTGAAGACAATAAATCTACTACTTACTCATAATCAAAAAGCATTAGAAATGGTGGTCAAAATCTTGTGTGGCAGTTACAAATGTGTAGCCAGCAGTTACATATGTGTGACTATTATGATTCATGGTTGCTACATAGCTCCTAGTTTATGAGCTATAAAAGGACCATGAAAGTCTGCCAATCTCCATTTATGAGGAAGCTGCCACTGCAATCAATGGACATTTGTTTCCCTGTCATTCAGGAAGCAGGTCACTGTCATTCATACTCCCCTTGCAGAAATGATCTCTCTCACAAGGGGGAATTGTGGCAGGGGCCTTATTTTTTGCCTGTCACAATGAAGATTGCTCCTGGGAATGAGTGGAGACACAAACCAGCTGCTTCCTGAGAAACAGAAGAACAGACTCCCGTCAACTGCAGTGGCTGCTACCAGTTAAGTGGGGTAGAATTCACTGCGTAGCACCATAACTGCAATGCTTGCATGTTCGTAAAGTTCACTCATCATTCCAGCCATTATCTTGTCTTTCAGAAACTCTTTTTTCTCTTGCCACTGCAATACTTTTCATAACTAAAAGAAGAAAACACTACTGCATCTAAAATCTGACCTATCTCTTCAGCATAAGCACTGCTGAGGCAAGAGTATCAAACACATTTCTAGCTGGATATTCTGTCATTTCTTCAGACTAAGAAAAAAAATCTAACATGATTGAATGAAAATGTTTTTAAATATCATATAATACAATCTTTTGAGATGCCACATTGCTTCCTAATTGTTTTTAGTGGAGAAGAATTAACTGAAATGTTGTCTTTACAAGTTGATTGAAATTAATGAAACTGATTACGTTGATTTAATTTGAACAATTCCAGCCATCATCCTGTGTGTGAGATACATATGTTAGCACACTACTTACAGAGCTACACAGTGAACCCCATCCCAACCCATATCCAGTCCCCACTGACAGGGAAGCAGGCACTGGGATAGACTGGGCTTTGCTTCCCTTTCACTCATGAAGCAGCTGACTGCCATTTCCACTCCATCCCATCAGGAATCTCTGGTGCAGCAGATAGAAACAGGACCCCTGTTGTAATTCCTCCTTGTGCTAGAGATTGCTCATGTGATGGATGGGCAGGCATGTCACCCAGTTGTTTCCTAATTAACAGGAAAACAGACCCCTGTCAATTGCAGCTTCTGCTGCCTGGTAACACTAATTGGGCATTGGGCCACTTTCACTATCCCTACATAGTCCTTAAACTAGGGGCTATGCGGGGCACAGGAATACATAATAGTAATGTGTGTATAACTCTAGGTCATGCATAGCTGCCATAAAGGATGTCAGCCTACACCTTTCTTACCAATGTGTATATCTAAAACTGAGGTGGCTATCTGCAAATAATAGAAAGGAAAGAAAGGAACAGTAATATGGGATACATACCAAACAAGATATGAGGTGAAAATCAGGGAAACTAGAATGAGAAACCCACCAGCTGATACTCCATAGACCCAAATTTTCAATCTTCCATCTGGGACAGATAAGAAAAGAAAAAACCCAGAAAAAATGTAACTTTCAATGATTTTGTATACCATAATAGCCATGTACTATACTAATATAAAAAGAAACAATATATACAAGCCAAGGTATTGTTCAAGAGATGCAATACTTATTTCTCATTCTCTGGAGACAGAAATTCAAGCACTACACTCAACTGCCCACAAATCAAAGTTAGTGCAAAGTTACAGAGAAGGGAATTTTCATTTTGACTTTTGTTCATTTGGGAATATTGCTCTCACAGATTTATATGAAAAATATATTTCAGTGATGTGAATAACCAAAGGCAGATTCCACTTTGTAGCTAGCTGCTGGATGCTATCTGCTGTGCTCATGTAATTTACAACTTGCTGATTTAGAGACCAGATTCAGTTGATCAGTATCCATAGACAGAGAAAACATGAATGAAGCCCGTCGAAAGGTCACTGCATGTCTTCGCCATGCTTTCTCTTGGTCAGTGTTGGTTGGTGCTATATTCAAAAACCAATCTCCACATGAAAAAAAACCCTTCTGCATGCAGATCAGAGATAAGCACACAGCCATATTTTGGCCTATGGTTATGACAGTGCATTCCATTTCCCTGGAGCAACATGTTAGACATAATAAATACTGTCAGCAGCAACTACTTGTTAAGTAAGCGCAGGAAACTATACCAAATCATCCTGTCTACCTAGCCAATGATGATTATCACTGTCAGCTCGCACAATTGTGCTCATGTGTTGGAAGAAAGGATAGTTTCATAAACACAGCACCATCAGAATCTGAAATCTTATTCTACCAGGTATGTCTTGTGGACTGGCAACAAAACAATGAAGATATATAGAAAGATGTTTGGAACTCTATAATTAAAATTGTACATATTCAGAATGCATCATCCTGTTAATTGACCCTTAAGACTGGTTCCTTTCCTTATTTCATGGCAGTCTCTTCTATAAAAGACAAATGTGTCTATCTGGATATCTGATGTACTGACTGAAAACTGCAGTTGGATGATGCATTGCGAAACAGAATCTAGATCATTGCACACACTTATGTTTTTTGCACAACTTCACAGTTCTATTACTTATGTTGGAAATTGATTTATGTATACAGTTGGCCCTACGTATCCATTGCTTCTGTATTCATGGATTTAACCAACTAATCTAAAAGTCAAAATTGATTTCTGCCGCATTCCGATGTGTAGGTATACACAGTTATAGCCTCCTGCCACTTTACAGATCCTCAGGCTCTCTACAGCACTTGTTTGAGTTGTTCACTATTTTATGTAAGAACTGTGATTTTACTACACCATTTTGTACAATGGGACTTGAGAATACACAGATTTTGGTATCCATGGAGAGTCCTGAAACCAAACTTCAATGGATACTGAGGTCTCTCTGCAGTTCCTAGCACAGCAATGTCTGATCCATTCAGTACAGACTTAATTTTTCTGGTTTTTTAAAGTGCCCCACATGTTTAATTATTTTTTAAAAAGTCCTTTGACCTTGGTTAAAAGGTTGAATTGACCATCCTTTGAAAATGTCATGCATTTTTGAGTTGACAGGTTTATGTTTTGGTGCATTCGTTTTAACATCAGCTTTCTTGTCTTCTAGACCAGGTATCTTCATGCAGTAATCCAGGAAACCGTTTGATCTCATTATCTCTGTATAGCCTCTCTCACAGCCACAGACACCAGTCTAGGTAACATGAAAACATAAAACAATGAAGTCAGTTCGCTCTGTAGAAACTCAACACAAAAGATGTTCTGTTGAGCAGTTACTGAATTTCCACTCGTCAATACCAAATGGTTTATTTGTTTAGATTTAAATCCCAATCTGTTCCCAGGATTTAGGACTGACTGTCCATATTGACTGTCAATATTGTAAAAACAAATAAAAAAAACCAACAAGAAAAAACCCTGGTAATTTGGGGATGTTCTAATCCACATGATTTTCACAATGGATGCTCTTTCTTTTTTCACTTTGATAAATGTATTACAGCAAAAACAATTGAAGACTAATCTGTTTTGAAAAGCCTGCATCAGAATGACTGACAATATATGTTTACAAATTAAATTAAAGTTTTTGTTGCTTATGAGTACCATTTCATTATTGCACCACCCCCCCTCCTTCTCCCTGCCCCTTTGCTGATGTCTGCAAAAGTGCCCAGTGATGACCAGGAGCTCTCCAGAGCTCCATGGCCATCCATTGTGGCAGTTGTGTGTGTTTGTGTGCGCATGCATTTTCACAGGCTCAATCAATTCCTTCTTCCCTGAGCTGCCAGATGCAGGAAAAAGAGGATGGTGGTTTCAGCCTGTGCAAATAGTGAAGTAGTTCAGATTACCCCCAAAGTGCAGGACTCTTCCACTTTGTTTAACGTGAGGTTTAATCAGGTTAACACAGTTTAGGAAGCAAAAGGACACACCCTCTCCTTTCTCGCAAACAGAGATTTGGACAGAGGAAATCCCTTTGAGTTTATGGATTTGATTCCATTTCCATAAACCATCTTGCCTGAATGGGCTATAAACAAGGAGCCCTGTTAACTTAGATTAGTAAACTCAAACTTAATTCTCAATTCTGCACACAAATGCCATGCTCTGCAAAGTATTTTTGAGAGCCAACGAGGTGTCGAGAATTCAGTGTAGAACTAGGACTTTGGAGACCAGGATTTCAATCCCCTCTCAGCCAAAGGAACAACCTTAGGGAAAGGCAATGACAAGAAATCTTGCCAAGAAAACATTGTGATTGGTCCATTAGGGTAGCCATAAGTCAGAAACTTTCCTGTGGTCCTCTTCTAAGCATTGTGCTACAAATCAGTTACTACAACTTCCCGCTAGGTGGTGTTCTGTACATACCAAACAACGTCTCTTCTGTGTTAAAAAGCTTTTTTAAAAAAAATAAATAAATCTAAAGATAATTTATTGGCTGCCAAAAGTATTAATCCTGACCGTGTACATTGCAATCTCTGGATTACCTGTGTGCAGTAAGAGAAGGGCTTCCTACAGGCTGGGTTGCAATGCCTGGTTGTGGCTGGCTGCATCCGAATGGAACAGCCTCCTGTAAAAACAGTTGTCAAGAAATATTATCAAAGATATATTTCAAAATGAGTCAGGAATGTCTTCAGGTTTCTTTGCTATATAGCAACACTGCTGTGGCCTGCAGAAAGGGGCATGGAATCCATATAACTTCTCCCGACTCCCAAATTCAGGTTGGGTTTTCTAAAAGACATCTGTTCTGCAGACTGATAAATATATTCTTTATACCTGACATCTCTTCAAAAATGTTAGCTGTATATTTTGGTGTGTATATCCACATGTTGGAGTGTATATCCACAGGTAGAGCCAGTGTGGTACAGCCTCTCTCTGCTTCAGAGGAAGGCAAAGCCAATCCCCCTCTGAACAAATTGTGCAAGAAACCCCTATGATAAGTTCATTTTGGGATCATCAGAAGTCAAAAAGCATGCAATATTCATGGTAAAATATGAATGTGATAAAGCAGGATTTGAAAGCATACAGATAACAGACTTTTTTGGATAGAGATAAGCAAATTAACCCAAGAAATTACACAATCCATTTTAGGGGTGAAAAGGAGGACTATTATTGTTCCTAATATGTTTCCTTTAATACATTGTTGTGTGAAACAACTCTTCAACAACTTGTTTATGCAATGAATGCAGAAAGGTCCAGATTTCTTCATCTACTTTAAAAGCACCATAATTACAGCTGCTACCATGCTAACTTTTTTTCACTTGTTTGATTATCATTCTCATATTTATTTATAGCACACCTCTTTCTCAGTTCAAAACAAAGAGTCTTTACTTGCCCATGGAAAAATACTAAGGGGGGTGCTAGTGTAATTTCTGAGGGAGAGATCTATATCACAGAAGATTCTCTCCTATATTCCAACTAGCTGTAGCTTTGTGGATGGTGAGATAGAGAGAAGAGGCTCCTCAGAAAATTTGGTCCTTCAAATAACCTAGATCTGAGCCATATAGAGATTTGTAGGTTACAGCCAGGACTTTGAATTGTGTCCAGAAATGTTGGCAGCCAGTGGAGCAGTTGCAACAAAGGAGGTTTGTGATCTCTGTAGCCAGCCATGATTAACAATCGTTTTACAGCTTTTTGGGCCAGCTGTAGTTTCCATAGCAGCTTCACATACAGTACATTACAGTAATGCAAACTGGATGTAACTATGGCATATGTCATCATGGTCTGCTCTAACATCTCAAGGAGTTGGTGTAGTTATAGCATGCTATCAGTCTATATCACATTTCAGTACACCTTTATATCAGGTCCCCAGACCTTATGGCAGAATTTCAAAACACTAAATGGTCTGGAGGCCATTACTGTTCTTAAAAAGGAAAAAAAGAAAGAAAGAAGGTGGTCAACTTGTGCTTTGGTTTTTATGTTTGTGTGTTCTGGGGTTATTTTTTGTTATGAGGCTGTCAAACTTCCAGAAAATCACAAAAATGTTCCTGGAATGTGAGCAGAGGGTTGGGGAGACCATGAGATTCTTGAGGCATCTTCAATCTACACCCCATACTATGTCACCCACTCAGGATGTTAAGAAGAATACTTCCCTTTCCCTCAAAAACGCACACAGTTCAATTGACTTTTCTTTCTCTTAGGAAGGGAAACCCCAAAAGTAAGATAATTGTCCCATCCTTATTTATAAGTAGGAATTCATGAACTTCTATTTTTTTTAAAAAACAAACAAACAAACACATAGCTTTATAGAAAAGACAATGAAAAGATACTGATGTTATATTACAGTTCTTAGAAGTTCAACTCCATGACCATTAAAAACACATTTCAGCTGAAAAATAAGTGATGCATGGAAATAAAAGTTTCTCTTTTCAGTTTTTCTGTTGCCCTCCAAAAGTAAGCCTTTAAAAAAAAATCCAGTGAGCTCATGGCAGTTGACAAAGGCATTATTTTCTTTTAAACCTTTGTGTGCCTGACTCCCTTGTAAGTTAGAGCCCCAAAGCAAAACTACCTTTTGTGTACATTATGGACTTCTTTGATCACACTGCCGAGGCTGCACAACTACAGAGCTCAGAAAACATTGGTTGAAACTAGAATTCCCATGATCCTCCCTAGGAAAGTAATTTTTCCAAACTCTGTTCAAGACATATGGCAGCATTCAGGAAAAGGAGGACAAAGAAAATCTTAGTATGTGCCAACATGCACCACATGCATCTGCTATGCAAACCTCTTATCTGAAGCATATGGTTAGATGTCATTGACCTCAATATACTGAAGGAAGTGCTGACATTTTATTGGCAAACACTGCAGATATGAAAATACCTGTCTCCCTTTTCTCCCCCTGGCTATGTTCGGATACTTATAGCAGAAATCCAAAAAGTTAATTTTTGGAAATATTTCCCAGAGTTTGGTTGGAAGATTCTGATATACCTCCTTCCCCAAATATTTTTAGAAAACAACATTCTAAGACACCCCCGCCCTTTCAGCCAAGCTACGAGTATGTAGCTATTATGCAGGTCTTTCATTTTATGTTTTCATGAAAACTCAAAAGCTTTTCTCTCTCTTTGATTAATGGAGAAAGGTTCGGCACCCTGGCTTAAATCCAATGGCTTGCCCCAGACGGAATCATTGACTCGATGAGTTCAGCCTTAATCCAGGACAGTGCCAAAGTCTCTTTCACACTATGCAGTTATGGTATTAAACAAATTGAAACTGAATCCAGACAAAATAGAGGGTCCTAATCTGGGGAGTAGGGATGCAGATGTGTCAATCGGTCTTGGATGGGATTATACTGCTCTTGAAAGACTGTGTTCACAGCTTGGCAGTGCTCCCGGATCAATCTCTCCAAACGTCAGCCCAGGTAGATGAGACAGTCAGGAGTGCTTACTATCAGCTTCGGCTGATACTCCAACTGCACCCCTTCCTAGATTTGGAGGACTTTAAGATGGTAGTGCATGTGCTGGTAAACTCAAGATCAGGCTTCTGCAATGCGCTTTACATTAGGCTATCTTTGTACCAAGTCCGGAAACTACAGTAGGTTCAAATTACAGCAGTCAGATTGGTTACAGGAACATCCAGGAGTGAGCATATCACCCCTATCTTAAAGTCACTCAATTTTCTGCCAATTAGTTTCCAGGCAAAGTATAAGCTGTTGGTATTGACATTTAAAGACCTACATGGTTTGGGCCCAATTTACCCACAGGATCACCTCCTCCCATTCAATCTGCCTTGAACATTAAGGTCCTATTTTTTTTGGGGGGGGGGGGTGTCTGCTCCAGCCTGCCAGGACCCAAGTGGCAAACATCATCCAGACAACCTTTTTCATTGGCCACCCCATGACTGTGGAATGACCTGCTGATAGAACTCCAACAATTAGATTAGCTGTCAGAATTTAAGACACAAGTGAAGACCTCTGTCTTCTGGCAGCCCTACCCAGGCAGTTTAAATGATTAATTTTAAACTTCGATTATATGTCTAACTTTTGTTTGTGTATTTTATGGAAATATGTTTTAATATGTGTATTCTACTGAGTCTTTTAAAAATTATTATGTGTTTTGATTATGTCTTTTAGCAATGTTGTAATCTACCTCAAGCCGTGAGGAGAGGCGAGTAAGAAATAAAATTATTATTACTAATTTTGTTTTTATTGTCTATTTTTACTGTCATGGTTGCCTCTTAAAGAATCCTGGGGTTTGTAGTTAGGTCAGGAAATACAGAGGAGCTTTCTCGCTGAGGATTCTAAATCCTCCCCATAAACTCCAAATCCTCGGATTCCATAGGATGATAGTATGACAATTTAAATGTTACCATAATGCTATATGTGTGTAGAGTGAAAGGATTCTGATATAGCCCAGCAAAACAACAGAACATGAGGGAATTGTTTCTTTTTCCTGTTTTCCCTTCTCAAACAGTCTTATAACTCAGCAGGATTTTCTACTCCATTTCGATAGAGCAGACTTGGAGAAACACCTACCTGTGACATTCACCCCATCTGATCGCTGGCACCATGCTGTGCGTTCATTATCTTGCCAAAGACTAGTTTTCCAGACATAATTATAACACTTTCCGCCTATAATCCAAATGAAGCAACAATGATCAGTTTATATTTACTTTGCAATGCAACACACTTTTCTTTCAGAAGAAATTAGAAGTTGGTTAAGAGCCAAAGCATACCAAAGCATGAAAAGAGGAATTGGTTGTGCTTTCTCTAGGGGTTATATAAATGCAAACTCTAGGGAAGCCAAGTGTTCCACAAATACACCTACAGCATTATCTCTCACCAGGCCTGAAGCGAGGGGGTGGGGTGGGGTTTAGGGGTTCAATCCCCCCCCCCTGAAATGTTTCAGATTTTTTTAAAAACCTGGTTTACTCATGAATTTTAACTGGTTAACCAAATCCCCATGCTAAGTCTATGAGATGCAAAAAATTAAGAGTCCCTCCAGAACTGCAAGCACTATCTCAAGCAAATATTGACAATTTATTCACACTGTCATTACTTGCAGCAATAGCCGATGTAGTGAAGCAACCAAGTTGGGGGGGGGGGTTGAATGCTCTCATTAAAGGTGATGATACTCACCTTTAAGGCCTTGCATGGTCTGGGGTCGATGTACCTGAGGGACCGCCTCACGCCTACCAACCCCAGAGATTCTTCCGTTCTGAGGACCAAGATTTGTTGGAAATTCCCAATGTCAAGACCTTGCGTCTAACAGCAACCAGATGCAGAGCCTTTACAGCAGTGGCACCATCACTCTGGAATACTCTGCCACCTGAAGTCCGTGCCTTGCAGGACTTATCAGCTTTTCGCAGGGCATGTAAGACATATCTGTTTCGACAGGCCTTTGATCTTTGATATTGCTGTTTTTAAATTGTTTTTAAATTGTGTTAGATTTTAGCCTGTTCTTGTAAGCCACTCCGAGCCCCAGGGGAGTGGTGGCATATAAGTTCGAATAATAAATAAATAAATAAATAAATAAAGGAGGCCAGACTTGGTGGAGGTGGTTGACAGGGGCGGAGCTGCAGGCTATTGAAGGCTGCTCTGCCCCCTGCTGTGCTCTTTGCTTCAGCGTGAGCTAGGAGGCAGGTTTCACCCCCCCCCCCTGAAAATTTCACCCCCCCCCCCCCCGAAATTTTTTTCTGGCTACGGCCCTGTCTCTCACCCTTTGGATTTGGTCAATGGGGAGGTTAGGTGTGTAGCAAGGCACTGCACAACCAGTTAAACAGTGATGAAAGAAAAGATCCCACTGAATCCGGGGATATGAATTGAATGACTGAACCAATACACTAAAATGTATAAAATCTTGGTCTTGGATTCATATGTTTTTCTCACTATTTTCATATGTTTGTCTCACTATTGCCTTATGAATTGTTTCTAGAACAAATATATCACAACATCCATATAACAATATGTCAGTCAACTTTTCTTTGTGATCCTGAGATATGAAGGGCTGAGCTTTAACTATTCCCTACCAGAGCAAGGCCGAGTCTCCACCTCTTGTTCAGGGCAGCTGTCTTGGTTTTCAAAAGACTGAATTATAAATGTTCTTGACCTAGATTGTCGACCCTTTGTCTCAAAACTCCTGCCATCTATGCATGTCAATTCACAGGGGCTCCATTCCGACCATTCTGTCAAGTGACAATCACCTATAAACAAGATAAAAGATGGGAAATTTAATGAATTATGGTTTAGGAGAGTTATGTTCTTACATTCATCTTAGTCAAAAAGTTAAAAGACTCCAAGGGCTCCCTAGTCCACCCTTGTAGTAGGAAACACATATCCTTGACCGAGCTGCCATCTTATTGCAAGTATCTCTCCCATGAATTTACATCTTGCACTCTGTTTTGCCTATGTTCCTCCTAACATGGAGTGTGGGGTTTTGGTAGAAGTGGCAAAGCAAAAAGCGAAAATATGGGTCAGGATACCCTGCTCTACCATTCAGAAAGCAAAGACTTCACTAAACAAAGCACTTATGCCTGCATTCCAATAAAATCAAGTAAGAGCTCAATCTCATTATAGTATTTTTACTAACAGCTTCAGGGGTGCAAACCTGGGTCACCCATTGGCAATTAAGTCTGCTAAGAACAAAGTAATGGTTTCAGGGCTTAGGATCTGGTATTAACAGCAACATCATAAGCAGTAAACATTCGTGATGTTATCACTATTTTGTCACCACTACTAATCACCTAGCATTCAGAGGAACACGTAACGAGAGCAATCTTTGCTCTTGTGCTTACTAAACTGCTACCATGCCAGCCAGTCATGATAAGACAAACAAACCATGCCATTCCGTTCTAAACATTGCATCAGATCATTATGAGAAATACAAAGCATTAAGAATGGAAAACTATGTTTCCTTATTTACCTTCTTCCCCCCATTACCTTTTCCATTCTGAGTTTTATAGCACAAGAGGACAGGGACTGTTTTGTTCTTTTTTTCTTCTTATGTGATGCTCCTCTGAGGCTCAGAAAAGTGACGTTTGTGGATTGCAGCACCTAGAATAATCTAAGCAATGCCCCCAAGGTCTGAAATTGCATCTAAAATTGGTCTAGAAACTTTAGCTGGTAGATCTGCTAAATGAAGTAAACCAACTTATAGCACAAACCTCTACTAAGGTAACTATATTGGCTGCCTATTGCTAGTGGGGCAGATTTAAGATTTCATTAGTACCAAAATCTCTAAACAACTGGGAAAATGCCTTCTCACTTATATTCCAATCCTTATTTGGCCTTGATGGTTGCCTAGGGAGCAAATCTCCTTCAAACAACAGTACCATGAGTTACAGATATACATCCCATAGTTGTCCAGGGTATAACATTTAATATTGTGTTGCTCATTCTGTGAAATATTCTTATTTCTGCTATTCAACATAGATTGACAATTATTATTTTAGGTGTATGATGAACATGTAACTATTAATGCCAGCTACATCCAAATGTGATGAATGCAAAGCTGGGGTGAAAACTGCTGGAAGAAACATTAACAACCTCAGATATGCAGATGACACCACTCTGATGGCCGAAAGCGAGGAGGAGCTGAGGAGCCTTCTAATCAAGGTGAAAGAAGAAAGCGCAAAAGCTGGGTTGCAGCTAAACATAAAAAAAACCAAGATTATGGCAACAAGAATGATTGACAACTGGAAAATAGAGGGAGAAAATGTGGAGGCCGTGACAGACTTTGTATTTCTAGGCGCAAAGATTACTGCAGATGCAGACTGTGGCCAGGAAATCAGAAGACGCTTACTTCTTGGGAGGAGAGCAATGTCCAGTCTCGATAAAATCGTAAAGAGTAGAGACATCACACTGGCAACAAAGATCCGCCTAGTCAAAGCCATGGTATTCCCTGTAGTAACCTACGGATGTGAGAGCTGGACCTTAGGGAAGGCTGAGCGAAGGAAGATAGATGCTTTTGACTGTGGTGTTGGAGGAAAGTTCTGAGAGTGCCTTGGACTGCGAGAAGATCCAACCAGTCCATCCTCCAGGAAATAAAGCCTGACTGCTCATTGGAGGGAAGGATACTAGAGACAAAGTTGAAGTACTTTGGCCACATCATGAGGAGACAGCAAAGCCTAGAGAAGACAATTATGCTGGGGAAAGTGGAAGGTAAAGGAAGAGGGGCCGACCAAGGGCAAGATGGATGGATGGCATCCTTGAAGTGACGGGACTGACCTTGAAGGAGCTGGGGGTGGTGACGGCCGACAGGGAGCTCTGGCGTGGGCTGGTCCATGAGGTCACGAAGAGTCGGAGATGACTGAACGAATGAACAACAACATGAATACTATGCCCTAAATCTCTCTCTCTCTCTCCCCCCCCCCCCCCCAATATAAAATAAAGGCACCAGATCCCATCTGATTTTTTTTAGCTAACTAGGATCAGCTCTGGTTAGTATTTGGATGTGGGACTGCCAATGAATATCAGATACATTTCAGAAGAAGGAACATTTCAGAGGAAGGAACTGGCTTAAAATAATATTAAAATAGAATTTCATCATAGCATTAAAGTGGTTCAGATCTGCGCTTAATAAAATGCAATCACAATAATAAGACCCTGTTAAAATATTTTCTGTATTAAATGATGTCAAAATAATAATAATAAAGAGGTTCTGCCTGCTAAGCAACAGATAACAAGGAGGAGGCATTCTGGTGTTTTCTTTTGGAGAGGGGGTTCAGAAACTTGGGTCAACCACCAAGAAGCTCCTTTCACATGTCCTCACATGTTGATGGTGATGGGGCTGAGAATAGGGCCTCTGGCTAACCCCAGAGCCAGGGAAATAAAGTTTTCCAAATATCCTGGATACGAGCTGCATTTTGCATTGTGCTCAGAAACAAACTGGAGGCATTGTATTGTCGAAGGCTTTCATGGCTGGAATCACTAGGTTCTTGTGGGGTTTTTTGGGCTATAGAGCCATGTTCTAGAGGCATTTCTCCTGACGTTTCGCCTGCATCTATGGCAAGCATCCTCAGAGGTAGTGAGGATGCTTGCCTGTTACATTAATCTTCAGGATTAATGTAAAACTAACCTAACAGGCTAAATCCCTATTCCTTGTTCTGTGTTTTGACTGACCAGGATCACTTCTGTCCTGTCTGGATTAAGTTTCAATTTTCCTTCATCCAGCCTATCACTGATGACAGAAACTAGTTTAGAACTGAGATAGTCTCCCTCACTACCTCTGAGGATGCTTGCCATAGATGCAGGCGAAACGTCAGGAGAAATGCCTCTAGAATATGGCTCTATAGCCCGAAAAAACTGGAGGCAGTTTAGCTGCTGTAACAGGGCAGTACTAGTCTCTGTAACCTGCCCCAATTAACTCTCTGACTGCAAAAATTTCTACTAGGTGAAGTTTTCAGACACTCTTCAAATGCAAGCACATGTAGAGCACATTAGTCCAAATGGGGTGTAAAGCATGGACCACTTTAGCCACATTCAGTGTCTCAAAGAATGGGCACAACAGGCATACAACAGGCATACAAGCTTTAAATGTGAAAAGTGTGTCCAAAGCTGATTCCAGGAATATGGCCAAGCTGCAATCCTGCATCTTCAGGATTAATGTAAAACTAACCTAACAGGCTAAATCCCTATTCCTTGTTCTGTGTTTTGACTGACCAGGAACACTTCTGTCCTGTCTGGATTAAGTTTCAATTTTCCTTCATCCAGCCTATCACTGATGACAGAAACTAGTTTAGAACTGAGATAGTCTCCTTGGACTGATGTGGAAAGGTGTAACAGACCTAAGAGTCATTCACTTAAATGAAGGCATTACACCCCAAAACTCTAAACAATTTCTTCTGGCGGTTTCTTATATGTATAGAATAGGAAGGGAGACACATGAAAAACTCTTAGATATCACCCTAAAGGGCAAGAGCGAGTGGATTGAACAAGAGCCCCCTGGGGAAATCTTCTGGGGTTACTCCTACAAAAGGAAATGTTGCTACTGTAAAAGACTGGAGTTAAGAAGTTCTTAAGAACTTCAGTCTGGTTGCTGTCCTTAAATTTTAAGTTTCCTATTATCCTGCATCAGGATTTTATCAGGATTTATATGGTCTTTCCTAATACAACAGAGATCTAATTTAGAAAGGTTTTATAGTTTGCTATAAATGTGCATATATCTACGACAAAACGGTAACATGCAGAACCAAGGAGATTTACTTTGACTGAAAGCAAAGGTAGGGATTTTACTACTTATGAAAAGCCAGTGATCCACTGGAAAAGTTGATTGGGGACTGGAGATGATGGTGGACAGAGCCACATTTAATTGTGTCCAGAACGATAAATAGTAAAGTTTGTGTTCCAATTTTCTCGTACATTTCTCTTATTTCTGTCCCTGTGCTACTCCATTCCTCTCCACCTCTCCTTTCATTCTTCTTCTGTTTTTGCTTGTGCTGAGAGATGTAATTCTTTGCTAAGCTTCTTCTAGAAGGAAGCAACAATTGTATTCACACTGTAAGAAAGTATTTGCAAACTACAGAAGTTGAAATCCTATTTGCAAATTAGGACTTATGCTCAAAATTCACACATGGCTGTTTTGCAAACAAAACAGCATTTTCTGCAAATGACACATTTTATGTGCAGAAAATAATGTTTCCATGCAGAAAGTTAAATAGCCATGTTTGAATTTGGTATAGAATAAGCCCCCAATTATAGCATTTTATGCACAGGAAGCAACAATTTATGCTGTTTTCTGTAGAAAATAACAATGTGTCAATTTTGTGCAGAATAAGTGCCAGATCACAAAAATTCTCATTAGTTCAGAATGCTGCTCATTAGCATTTCTGAACAGACATAAATATATTTTCAACCAGTTTATGAATATTTAAAGTGCCTTTGTGTTGCAGCAGATTGTTAACTGGTGCAAGTTATAGGGAGCGGTCAACCCCTCTGTTTAAACAGCTCCACTTGGCTACCGATAATTCAAGGTGCAGGTTATTACCCAAAAAGCTCTAAACGGTTCAGGACCTGCCTATCTTCGTGACCGCATTCTCCCCTATGAGCTAACACGGTCCTTAAGATCTTCTGGGGATGCTCTTCTCTCACTCCCATCACCGTCTCAGGCACGGATCGTGGGGATGAGAGGAAGGGTATTCTCGGTGGTGACCCCTTGTCTCTGGAACTCCCTCCCCAGAGAAATTAGGCTGGTACCCTCCCTACCCACATTCCATAAGGAATTAAAGATGTGGCTGTTTTGTTGTGCATTCGACTGACGACTCCTGTGACAGATGACCTGCATCATGACCTGAATGTGAATTCCTATATTACATTACTATATTTTTAAGTTAAACAATTCCGTATAATTGCTGTTTCCATGCTATTTCCTATGCTACTATACATTTCTATCCACCTATTGAATCACCCTATTCTTTAACCAGTTTGCATAGTGACCTCCTCTCCCTCTCCAAAATTAGTCTGCTGTAGCTTTTGATTTTTGCTTATTATTGTTTATGCTGTTTTATGTTATTTTAACTTGTTATTGTACTGTTTTTAATTGAATGTTGCCTTGGGCTTGGTCCCATGTAAGCCGTCTCGAGTCCCTTCGGGGAGATGGAGGCAGGGTAGAAAAATAAAATTCTTCTTCTTCTTCACTTCACTCTTTTTCCCTCTGTATCACAATAGCCCTTCTCTCTCCCTACCATTCTGCCAGCTGAACCCACCCCTTTCTTTCTGTACTGTACCACCTCGGTGAAGTTTCTCCTCTCATTTATGCTGGGCCTCACAAAGAATAAGACTGAGGGCAGCATGTGGTCTATAAGCTTTAGGTTCTCCACTTGCACTTAAATGCTGATAGCAAGAATGTAATTTCCAGCCAAATTTCATGTGGCTTTCAGTTGAAGAAGAAAGCTAACATTTATTGGCTTAAGAAACAATATACAAGTAAAATTACAGGAACATGCTCACTGTGGAGAACATAACTATTCAGGGGCAGGGAGCGGCATCAGGTCGTAGTTACTATATCAGAAGTCCAATAATCCCACACTAGGTTTTAATTCAGGCTTTAAGGGAGCTCTCCAAGAAATCTTACTCAATAGATATAGAAGCTACCAATAGCAGAAATGAGAAAACAAAGTTCTCCAAGCAGTTTACCTGGGCAAGGCACAGAACATGGGAGATGCAGGGCACTGTTTTTAGAAGGAAGCTCTCCACATAATGCGCTTTCTACTTGCTTAGATGCTGCTGATAAAGAGCCATCATGTACCATACACGTGAGGTTCCGTACTTGGATTCCATCTCCACACTGTCCACCCTAAGAGAAGTAATAAAGGTTTATGATACAAAAATAGTTCTTATTTCATTAATAATAAATGCTAAGTAGACCATACAGATCTTTTCTGCTGGAAGTCACTCAGTTTTGTCTTAGATGTTGGTTTATTTTAGGATCTTTGTTATTTGTACTTGTATTTATGAATGTACTATGGCATTGAATGTTTGACATGTGTTGTTGGAATCTGCCCTGAGTCCCCTCCGGGAGATAGGGAAGAATACACATGATGATGATGATGATGATGATGACGGTTGTCAACAAGACAAATTGTGTCCTTGCATGCTTGAAGTGGTAAAAAGATGGATGAGGTCTTTCCTACATCCTTTATTTGCGCCCAGTCTTGCAGAACCGATGTTGTCATAAAAGAATGCAAAGCTATCCTGGTCTGTCATAATTTTTAAAAGTGCACCTCTGGCCATGGCAAAGAGAAGGACAGAGGTTTTTTAATCACTCTTGAAGCCTGCATTGAATTTTAATCACTCTTGAAGTCTGCATTAAACGTTTAGCCATTTATAATAAGACCATTGCTGGCATCCTGATAATTCAGCCGAGTTTAGAACTATTTTACAAATGTTGAATGGTAAGTCAAGACAGACAAACCCCATTGATTTAATTTTACTCTAGGTTTTACTCTAGCCCAGACTAACAACAGGGTTTAAGTCTGGATAGGCAGTAGTTTGTTCATTTCTCAGAGAACTCTGTAATTGTGTTCATACAGAATGCAATATACACATGTCCATGTATGACACATGCCCCGTCTTCATCCCTGTCACATTTTGTTCCAGGTGTAGTACCATTTATCTGACGCAGGGAAAGCTAAAAAGATTCCATCTTCTCCATATCCCAAGTGAATAAAAATGAGTGTGGAGAATCGAAACAAGTCAAAGGTTAATGATTGATAATGGATGCAATGTTTTAGATGAAGCATGATCTATGAGAGATACAGGGAGGAGTAGAAAACCTGTCTATGGCAAATCTAGGCAAGCAGAATGCAGCATGAAGATGGAGAGGGCACACAGTCTGCCAGTGCTGACAAAGCAAAGGTAAATGTATTTGATGCTACCAATTCATGCCAGCGTTTACATTTTCAGACCATTAAAAAAAGTAATCACCCCAAAGGAGAAAAGTCATAGTCAGCACTTCATTGAACAGCTTTAAACTATACTGTTTCAAGGCCTCTCGATGTACTGTGACAGGCTACATAGTGTTCTTAGTGCAAAAGTCAATTTCCTAGGTGGCAGAATTCTCTGAAATTAAATCATGCTTTGATCTAGATTTGAGGCTGTAAAAAAGATCTATGGCACTCATCTGAGTGCTATTAGAAGTGTACATTCCATTGACCTTTGCCATTAAATTACTTTTTAATCAGCTGCTTACTTGCATGTATGATGAATTCACAGTGATAAGACACAGATTTCCCCTCCTTGTTTCCAATAATATTAAAATAACATTGCTGTGTAACTTTTAAAACGCATATTAAACAACCTCATCATTCAGCAATACGTGACTAACAAACCAAGTTCATCTGATGCCCACAATACAAAGATGTTGCTCTATAAGTCACTGTACAAGAGATACCTCAACTTTGCATGGGGACCACTCTCCAAGGACCCAGCTGTAGCAGGGTTTTATGACACAGTTCTTGTCTTGGGTGAGTTCAGCAGGACATGGTCTTCCTTCTCCTTGGGCTGGCATAATTACAGATCTGGTACGTAGCATCTGGCCTGAAAAAGAAGATAAATGGGTCTTATATATATATATTTACACCCAGTTTTGTTATGTTTACTCTCAAGTGCTTGTGAACTTTTGGTAAGAGACAGTTCTAATATGCCCCATTACCAGTGGAGCCCTTTGTGCTTTGCACAATTCCCTTATGGGGTCATTACTCGATAGTGCAGCTTTTGGAAGATTCTTCTCCATCATTTCAAAAGAATAATACGTATCTACTATGGTTTAGATTACTGGCTGTAAGAGTTTTAAACTAAAAAGAAGCTGGCACATTAAGACCTAACTTTTAAAATTTTGGCCCCACCCATCATTGTTATGTGAACTCTAAGTGGTCCTTAAAAATGAAGTTTGCCCTCAAATTGAAAGGTTCCCTGCTCTTCCAATATGCAGTTCTCAGGTGTACTGTACCCAATCAATTATGAACTCCTTAGATTTTCAGTATGGACCAGTACCTCAAAGAATCTGCCACAGATTCATATTCCTGCAAAAGCATGCTGCCTTTTATTTCTTGCTTTTGTGAGTACTCTACTCCCCTTTTCATTTCCTGTTTTTCCAGCTTCTCTGTTCCTGTCTCCCCTTTCCCTTGTTTTGGTTCTCAAAAGGCTATGGTTTCTGCAGTTTTGTTGCTGCATACAGAATTAATCCATAATTGCAATAATAACTACCTCCAAAGACATCTTTCAGTAATCAGTACGATAGGTGCTCAAATGGTGGAAGAATAATGAAAGAACATGTTCTGAGACAAGTGATGTGGGAGACACATGAGCAGCATTAAACTATGTTCTCTGGTAATCAGGGATTTTCAAAGTGCTTTCTACCATTATTCTCAGAAAAATAGCAGCTGGCATCAGAAGAATGTTTGCTCACTACTATAGCTCAAATAGTATCGATAGAGGAGTTTCAAAATGAATAGTAGATCCTAATGACACATTATGTGCTAATGCACGAAAGAACTATCCTGTTTGGACAACGAATGGTGGAAAAAACCACAGTCACGTGGCATCACTGCATTAAGAATTCCGTGCTCCTTGTTCCCATACTCTGCTTCAGCAGCAGTAGTTCTGAAAATGCTAGTACTAAATAGGTGCACACAATCCCTACATGCAGAAAGAATGTGTGACAGACCACAGAACTGCACAAAGTATTGGGTGTTTTCAACTGAAGGACCCAGTTTCAAAGCAGTATAAATCACAATGGCAACATTTTACAATTACACAAAAAGCTATAAACAGTTTAATGAGATATCACGTTTTCAAGTTTTACTACTCATTTTGAGCCAGAAACAAATCTAAAAAATACCTCTGCAAATGGAGAATATCTCATTAGACCTTAAGTTGTGGGGCTACCATTTTGCAAATGACTGAGCTAGGGCTGTTTGTGCACTGGGAGAGGCATCTAGCAGTAATCATTTGAAACTGTATGCTCCACTTTTTCAAGTGGTACAGGTTTCAATCATGGGCAGTTCATGGTTGAAAAGATATAGTGATTTGAAATCAGTCCTATTTTTTTTGGAAACACTCTGTAGTTACACACTTGACAATGCTTTCTGTTGCAGCAGCAGAAATGCATCCCTGCTGCTTCCCCACATGCATGCTGATTTACTGCGAAAACTATACCATACAAATCTTTGTGGGTGTGCCTACCTGTGTGTGTTCTGAATGATTTCTTTTTAGACACTGCATATTTGTACACAAAGATTAATAAATACTAGGCCTGTGCAATCAATGAAAAAAAATGTTTCAATACTCATTACGAAATTAGGGAGCGGGGGGAAAATAGTTTCTAAAGTGTTTACAAAATTGGACAGAGTCTGTATCATAACTATAACGAGTTAGCTAATTTTTTTTGTTTGTTACTTTTCATTAAATAATTGTGCCAATTGGGAAACTTCAGGAACTGCTTTCTCCCCATTGTTAGAGCAATTGGCATGGAACTTGCTACAATTATGGTACACCTTTATTAAAGTTAGCCCATCAAGTTTCAGAACATTTCACTCATCCATGAATTCTGGCTGAAAGAGGCCATCCCCGGGGCCATCCAGTCCTACCTTCTGCTATACAGGAATAAAAATCAAGTGTTGCTTGCTGGAAGCATTTCTTTGCTAATCCCATGGCTGCCTCCCACATTCTTTGAAGATATTCTGAATTCCTAAGAACCTCTCTTCTTTGATGATAGATCACAAGTTATTTAACTATATGTTTTGAGGTAGTTTCAGCAGGTTATATCCACATGGCTCCCTATATTATGTAGTTGGAGTCTCACTTGTACACAGGATTTGGGAACTTTTTTTTCCTAAAATTCCCAGAAAACAAACACCGGTACCACTAGCAGCATATCCAGGGACTGGTACTATGTGACATCAAGCTTTGCACATGCATGAATTAGGCTTCTTTTCTCTCACCCAAAAGAGCATAGGAAACTCTTAGGTACGAGGGAAAGGAAGCCCAATTCTAATTGTAGAAGTGCAATCAAATGTTTTTTGTGGAGTGATTTTCCCCAGTGTGTACTTTCTACAGGTGTTTGACAACATTTCCCATCATTCACAGACAATAGAATCAGTCATCAAATATGCTGGTAGCTGTAGTCATAAGCAAAATCCCACTGCCAATACTCCAGCATTAATCAATGACATTCAAGTGTGTTTAGCACTTTGAGGATGCTCAATGGTACTCAAGCCTCCTTAGCTCAGAAATGCTCTCATGTGTTTTAAGGCAGTGACAACACTTCTATGTGTTCTGGGCTCACAAGATATACCCTTCTCCAGTAATGGGGAAGCACATGAAGCAAAGCCACTGTACTAATTGGAGCATATTAACGTTCAGTGTCTGTTGACTGTAATTGGATGTGCCCTGTCTATGCCCACTGCAGTTCTGCCCACTTCCTCACTTAATGAGATCAGCCATGGGCTGCTCAACTTGATAGAGACAGAAAGCCTGCCTATTTAACAATTTCTCTAGTTTTCTGCGGCTACCATTCAGTAGGCCCTTTCCATTACAATAACAAGATGCCGCCTAATTGGAATAGTGTTAGAGAAAACATTTCTTCTCCAGGCTGTCCTCTTTGTCGGAGCAGTCAAGGATTACAAAATGAGATTGCTGATACTTTAATGAATGGCATTCAGCAACACTATTATTCCAGAAATGGTAACCTAATTTCTTTTCCTATTCACTGAGTTAGGGATATTTCACTGAAAATAAACAGGTTCTTAATGGAAATTGTAAAAGTGGTTATGGACAGTAATGGTCATTATAGAGTTTGCAATTTTTCAGTGACGATAAATGTAATTTGGTTATAATAACTTAAAACTTCATTTGGGAGGAAGAGGAAGATGGTGAAGAGGAAAAAAATAAGGAAAGAAAGAGGGAAAAAAGAGAAACAAGGTGAAAACCTATAGTAATTGCTACTATGAAACATAGCACTGGCATAATTATTAACCTTTGTAGCTATCCACACTGTATCATGTTTTAGGTTTTTAATGAAGTCCATTACATAGAAAGGGAAGTATTTACTAGAGTGCACATTAGAGGTGTTTTGAAGTAAAAACATGATTAACCTAAAAGAGCAACAAAGGTTTGTTAAACCAGTCCCAGATAATAAGTTACAACCTTCATTTACATCTTCTGCAAGGCATCATTTTTATTATGGTTAATTATGGGAGAGGAAATGAGCTTAATAATAAGGATTTCTGTTTGTGCAATCATTCATTACGATCTCTCTTATCTTTATTGATTAACTCACAGCAGAAGAACATGAAAGCACCACTATATGCTAGTTTGTCATTGGTTTTATTACACTTTTGCTGAAAGAGATGGAACTTAAAAATGAATTTAATTAAGGAAATACTGAAGCATTTCTATGAGCGGCTGCTGATTAACTAAGAATAGCTGACATGCTTTAGTGATGCAAACATATATCTATCAGTAATGAAAACATAAATTAATCCAAACATACAGTAATAACACTGCTTGTTATAAAAAGTAGACATTATATGACAACAAGCTTTGCACATGCATGAATTAGGCTTCTTTTCTCTCACCCAAAAGAGAAAAGTGTGTGGCCTGCCTGATGAATGGGACCAGATATTATTTCAGTCAGCCCCATGGTCATCATGGCAACCATGAAGTCCTGAGCAGCACCTGATAATGTGGTCTCTGCATGGATGTTGAAGTCTCCCAGAACTATAAGTTGCCGGGAGACTAAGGCTGAATTTGAGACCACTTCTGCTAACTCAGGCAGGGAAACTGCTGAGTCGCGGGGTGGACGGTACATAAGCAGAATCCCCAAGCTGTCTCGGGTTCCCACCTTCAGGTGGACACACTCAAACGCAGGAGATTGTGGAATGGTGCATCTGACCAGAGAGATGGACTGCCTAAAGATCACTGCAACCCCTCCTCCCCGCCCCCTGGACCTAGGCTGCTGGTGCACCCCAAATCCTGGTGGGTACAGCTGGGTGAGGTTAACTCCACCCAGCTCATCCAACCACATCTCGGTGATGCAAGCCAGATCTGCCCCCTCATCCAGGACCAGGTCCTGGATGATGGATGTTTTACTGTTGACGGATCTGGCATTCACAAGCAGGATCTTAAGTCCAGGGGGTCTATCATGGAGACTACTACACCTAACCTTCTCCAGGGTTGCAAGAACTCTATTGTGCTTCTCCCTGGGGTTGGGGGCGACCGGCATTCCTCTTACCCCACACAACCTCAATAGTACCACTCCCGCTCAAGTACCCACCCCGCCCTCCATGGCCTGTTTTAATATGCTGTTTTATATTGTTGATTTTGTTATTTTATATTTTGTTATGATGTATTTTGTTACTGTGTGTTTATTATTGTATTATTTTGGGCTTGGTCTCATGTTAGCCGCACCGAGTCCCCTTTGGGGAGATGGTAGCGGGTTATAAATGAAGTGTATTATTATTATGAATTAGTGACAGAAATGTTATTATGCTGTATATTTGTACACAACATGACATATATTTTGTATGTTTTCCAAG